GTGGCAGTGGCAGCTTCTTTTTGTATCTGTCATTGAATGGTCTTTGAGGGGCATGCCTTTTACTTTTTGGCTGCGTTTTTTTATTTTCGGGTTTCGGTAATTAAATTTGTCATGAGGCTCAGTTGGCAATCGGTTGCGGGTCAAGAGCCATAAAAACTGACGCCCAAAAGTAGGCAACGCATAAAAGAGCAATCCCTGCCAGAAAGTTTCACCAACATTTGCTCTGCTCTGCGCTCTCTCTTAACTTTCTCTTTCGTGGACCGCAAAGCTTTTTGGACCAAAGCTCATTTACCATAATTTTGTTGAATCGAAAAGCTTCATTTTGCGCCTTATTTCCGCCGCTGGTTCTGGTTCTGTTGCCGTTTCTGTTGCCTGGTTGTTAATGATGCGTTCAATTTAAATGGCCATAATAATTAACGATAATTTCTCTTCAAGTTATTGTCTATAATATTATTTAGAGTCTTGCGGAGGAATTACACAACAAATTTGCATAGTTATGAATGTCATTATGTTAACAGCATTTTCAGCCTCTGCCCCAAATTCCTTTTTTTTTACCCATTTTTGTACCCACTTAATCAAGCATCCTTTTGGCTTTCGAGGCGGCTGGTACTTGTTGCCATTCAAAACATTTTTATTACAGTTTTAGTGAGTTTTCCAAGGGTGGGTTGGATGGATGGAAGGGGACGCCCACTCACTGCCAACAGGTAACGCAAACAATGGCTCTACCCTGAATCAAGGAATTAAATTACAATGCTATCGAAAGTCCGAAACAATATGAATCGAAAAACTGCCAGCCCGAAAAGAGTTTTGGCTCTTAAAATTCGACTCTTTTTTGTTGTTGTTGTTGGGTGGGTCTGCAGCATTTATGAAACATTTTTCGCCCAAACTTTGGCTTTGGCCTTTACAATTCGATTCAATTGCAATTCCCTAGGCCAGCAGCCCACGCAGCGCATACGTAACACAATAAATTATCAAAGTACCGAACATACCATACAGGAGTTCCGCACATGGAGGAGGTCCCTCCATCCTCAAGTGGGGAATCGGCAGCGTCAAAGGTTAGTTTACGGGCGTACTTCCTACAGTTGCGACCCTGCAGTTTCCCCCATTCAAACACACAATAAATATTGCAAGTGGGCGTCGAATATCCCAGCACTGTCTGTCGCCCCGTCTGTCTATCGGATCGGTCGAATCGGGTGAATTCTGTTTGTTTGCGTGCTTTCCCCCGTTCGATATCAACAAGAAATTCAAATAAATGCAGCCTCGTAGTCTTAGTCGTTTGGCCCACGCTTTAAAAGCTTTCAAATACAATAATTTATTTCATTCCACGATGGAAGGAAAGAAGGAACGGGGAATTGAATTGGCTGCGAGGATAGGGGTAAGAGAGAGACAGAGAGAGAGAGAGAGGAAGAGTATTGGTTGCAGCATATGTGGGATGCCTCCATTGATATCGCATAGTATCTATGTATGTATGTGTGAATGTATGTATAGACATTGATGTGTTAATTGCCGTAGTTGCAAGGAGGCCAAGGAAACGGGACACTAAGATAAACCAGGGTTGTCAGCAGTACCAAAGATACAAATCCATTTGTTTTTACTTTAGAATTAAATTGTTATCCAGTTGGATGAATAGTGATTCAAGATATAAATTCAGTAGATAAGCCAGAGATTTCAGCACATCTAAATCTTGCATAGTTTGTAATCACTTTATGGTATGAATTTCCCCCCTTGCATAGTTTGTAAATTTAATATTTCCTATCCAGCTAATACATATATAAAATTACTTTTTTTGTTGCTGTAGAATGTTGACAGCTCTGGGGCGGAATTTCCGTTGCATCACATTCCACCACCATCCCTGCTAATAATTCTCACACATTTTGTGTGTAAAAGTATTTTTCTTTTTCCTTATTTTTTATTTCGCCTGCCTGCCTGCCTGCTCTGCTCGCCTGAAACAATGCATTTTATCTTGGGCTCTTACACATTTTATTTTTTACTCTTTTCCATTCAGCTTTGACATAAGAACGCACACACATATCTATGCACATTATAGCCAGAGGCTGAGACGCTTACATATTAGGGTGAACCCAAGTAGAAATGTTCCTGAAAAATGTATATCCGAAGGAAGTTTCATATTTAATGAGCAATAAATTGGGAGCATAGAACTTATTTGGAACTAAAAGATATGGCTATAAACTTAATTCTTTGCGTGTGAAAATGATAAACAAGAGATACAAGATACAATACCCTTCCAAATGTTAGTCAGATGCCAAATATTGCCTTCTATAAACCCCAAAAAAGGTCCACCCCAAAGAAGACAACTTATGCGAGTAGTACACCCCCCTGGTAGCCCCTTTATTGCCTGGCACTGCTAAAAAATGCAAGCCAGAATGCATGTCTACTCTAGATACGATACTAGAATACAACTAAATACTTAATTTTGCTCTTTGCCGTTGCCTTTGCCTTTGATTCTTTTAATTTTCCATAGAGGGGGTGCAGTGTGTGTGGCGGGAGGGCGAGTTCCAGACTAAAACGAACGGCTATGCTGTTGTCTGGCAGTACTTACGGCCTACGCATACTCAGCCACTCACACACACATGTGGGAGGCACTGCATGGCTGTGTGTGCGTGTGTGTGTCTGGCTGACTGGAAGACAGCTGTTTTGGAGCAATAGGTTCGATGCCAGTGCAATGCAGTGGCAGTGGCAGCAGAATAAGTCGGTCTTTCAACGTCAGCGGACGCGGCGCAACTTTGTTTTCCCCCAAATTGTGTTATAGTGGGCCAGTGTGAATCGCTCATACTCAGCGTGGCGCCGATCCTCCAGAATATCGCTCATACGCCACATGACCCAATAGTGATCTCGCTGGCGATGCGGAAGTGAAATTGTTTTCTGATTGAAATGTAAATAAGCAACGCCAGCCAAAACAAATATGGCCACGGGCCACCCAGAGGAATCGCAGACGTTTATCATTGAAAATATGTGCAAAAGTGCAGGCCCGATCCACAGATTGACGCAGGCATCGCTGATGACCCAAAAGAATGCAGCCAGCGCCTTTGAGGCCATCATTAAACGCCAAAAATTATATATTTTTCATATTTTCCATTAGAAGTGAGGCAGCTGCATTAACATTTTAAAAGAATTTCCTAATCGAACTAATATAAACATTTGGTTTTAAATTACCTTAAAATATATTTCGAAAGTAAATTGAAGGAAAGAAAACCATCAGGCATGGCACTGTTGACAAGCAGCCATTAAGTGCACAGTGGTTGTGGCCGTATGGAAATAGAAATGAAAATGTGTCTGGTGTTTGCAGGCAGGTCATTCTATCTCAGAGTTCATGGACCAAACGATTTTTGTTTGAGTTTTATATAGAAAAGGAATCAATTGCAATGCAAAACAAAGGCCACAGAGTAGATCATCGATCTTCCACGTTTTTTTTTGGAAACGTTCTTCGATCTCCAGAATTGAATGTACGAGTTTCATTCATTGTTTAGTCAGATGTTTTAAATAAATTACACATGCTCTTCGCATAAACAAGCAATCAGCATTGGAACAACTCAAGCAGCAATTAAAGAAAATTAAGACATAAAAGATCAAATTAAGAAAACAAGATACATATACTTGTACTGCTACGAAGAAGAGCAAAGCTCTCCCCCGAAATGCATTCAAAATATTTTCAGAATGCTTAAATTCTTGTTTGACACATTTTGACTTAATGCTTTTGATGTGCGACAGTTTCAGTGCTTAATGAATGATTTATTGTGCTCCATTTCGGTATGAAATATTTTTCTGGCATATTAGGATGTTGCATTTGTAGCTGTAGATTTTTTTATAAATATTATTCCGTATGTACATAGGTGGGTGCTATTTCCTTTATATTTCCTTTGAATTTCCATCGAATTTCAATTTGGCCAATGCTAATGTATAAATCGCAGAATAGCCCCGAAGGGCAGACAGGTAATATTTATCTGTCTGAATCACCTTCAGCCGCCAACCAAACAGCCAACCAGACAGCCAACTAGCCAGCCAGGCCATGGTTCTCCAGTGTTTTGCCACATTCAATACGCACACGAACTGTATCTGCCGACATGTCTAATAGGAAATTGGCCAGAAGCGGCTCGGCTAACGATTCCTCGTTCCCCCCTTTTCCCCACTGAGTAATACTAGAATGCTGGGGCATGTATAAAATAAACAGAGGAAGGTACAATAAATTAAGGCAAACTTATACACATGTACTATACATACCTACAATATGGTATCGTATCGTATCGCATCGATGTGTCGATGTGGGCGAACAACAAAAGTACAAGAAAATACAAATATCGAACACAATGGAAACAATAATGTGCGAAACGATTGGAAAATGCGCCACAGTCGCCGGACTCTGTGTCTCTGTCTCCGTCTCCGTGTCCGTGTATGTCTGCGAGTACAATCCGTACGTACGGTCAGCGTCTGGGGTTCGCGTCTCCGGTCAGAAGCAGCCGGCTAGCCAGAGGGCTCACAACGAGTCGCAATCGTGGATAAATCGATGGGCATTATCGCGAAGCTATCGACAGTTTCGAGTCAAGCGATTCTTCTTCTATTTTTTGTTTGTATTTTTGTGAAGCAACTCATATTTCAAAACATTTCTCACAGCCCGTAAAAGTGTTAACAATTCTCTAAGAAATCTTTCATAATTGTGATCTGTAGTCTTCGGTCTGTGCTCTGTGCAGAGCAGACTAGAGGGCGGCAAGGCAAGCCCAGTCTGTGGCTGTTGACAAGTGTTAAAGTGCAATGTGCTAATTATGTCACACAGGGCGTATGCGTGTTGTTGAAAGCAAATCGTGAAGTGAAAGCCAAAGCAAAAGGCGTAAGGGAAGAACAAGCGGAAGAGAGCTAAACGTCCATTCAATACTTGTTGCTGGGAATCGAATTATTGCCAGTGTGGAATTAAAAAAAAACAAATGTCAATTGCCAATGCCCTGAAGGTGTAACAAAAAAAAAAATGTGAAAAAATAAAGAAAGAAAAGCAAAACGAAACGAAAGGTAAAACGGTATGCAAAATGAAGTGTCAACGATTTGAGATGAAATTATCAATTGCTGGGCCGTCGCCGTCCGCCCAAATGTGATTTATTCCTCTCTATACATGAGTATCTGTGTGTGTGCCAGCGGCAGTGTTTGTGTCTGTGTTTGTGTTTGTAGTGTGCGTGTCGACAACAAAGGGAAATAATGTCATGCATTGGCTCGACGGCATTTCTTTGGATGACAATTTAATTAGCGGACGCGCCAGCGGCAGCAACGGCGAAAACAGCGACAGCAATCAGCGGAAATCAACGCCGTCGAGCTCATCGCCCACCAAAGCAAGTAGGTTGCACCTATACCAAAGTATGTACACTCTAACACAGATAGACACATGGATAGATACATGGATACCTATACAACAAACACACACAAACAATTACAACCACACACTGAAGGCTCTCAGTGTGGCCAAGCTTTAATTCGTTGGCGTGTGAGAGCCACCCGAGCGTGTTTATTTGGCTTAGAGCAGGAGCTGGGGGAAGCGCGGGTTTGAGGTCCGTAAGCGCATACAATCTATCTGACATCTACATATGTATATCCACAGGGAAAGCTATCTCCTGTTTATATCCACACGGAGAAAGCCAACTGCTAACTATATCCACAGGGAAAGCTAACTGCAATCTATTACCACAGGAAATGCAAATTTGATAGTGGTTTCAAATCAGCAAGGGGGTAGGTAACTAGGTCTGCAAAGGCAAGGAAAATAATACAATTTCTATTAATAGAAATGAAATAAGGGCTGCTTTAGAGCTTTGTGAACTATGTACAAAATATATCCAACAAATAGAGTCATTGATTTATCAATGGGTTAGAAAACCCTCACGTTTACCCATATTTCTGTTACTTTTTGTCTGCCCAAAGCAAGAAGGTAATACCACAGAATGGAGATAACATTGTTATAGTGTTCTCCACTTCATATTCATTCATCGTATTGGAATTCTACGAACTCAATTAACCTAAATTATTGAAAATTTTGCTAATATTCACATATAAAGTAAAGAAAAAATACACAGAAACTCATTAGAAAGAATTCATGGCAGCAACAAGCAGCAAATGGACTCTACGCAATTGCCACACCTGTTTTTCATGCCACAGAAGACATACATAATATTATTTCCAATGCAGGCCAAAAACAATTCAGTATTATTGGAATATTTATTTCAATTATGCCATGAAATGTACTTGAAAACGATTTTCCCCGATTTTCGATTGATTTTTGCTGCTCAGCAAATGAATTTCCAGCCAAAAAATTTGTCTTTGGCAGCCAGCAGCAATGGGAAAAAATCAAATGGAATTGAATTTTAATTGGGAAACACATTATTCCAGATTTTGGACCGACACCGAACCCCTGCCTGTGTGTGTTTATCTTTGTGATGCTCATAATTCAATATCAATTATCAAAAAAATATTCATCATTTAGTCCGAGCAATCAGCTGTGAATGGAACACACATTTGAGCATCATTTTCATATTGGGGTTTTTATGCGGCGGCGGCTCATTGAACTTGTTGGGAAAATATTTCCTTATATTGAATTTAACGATTTGCCATGCTAATTTTACATTGGGAAAGCAATTAAATTGGTCTCGCTTCCGTTACCTTGATCGTTCATCGATCATCGCCCGCTCAGCGGCCAGGAGCTAGCTGATTCCCATTGATCTGAATTTTCCGACCCATTTCGGGAGGCCTTCAATTAGCACAGCCGCGAAACGGAGATCGATTTTATTTTGGAAATAATTCACAGTATCAACAAAATGGCAAAGTGTTTTGGCTTCGTTGTAAATCCGAGGCATATGGCAATTTGATTTGTAATTTATTGTTTACAGAATCTCGTACGTTTCGTTTCCATTTCCATCTTCATTTCATTCCTCACGATGTGGCACAGACGTCCAAATAACATTACAAATTGTGGCAGCCAGGGTATATAAATAGACGCGGATCTCTCACCTTTTGGAATGACTGCAGATGACCCAGAAAAGCGACGGGGAAAACTAATTTAGTTTTGATTCTGACACAATTAATAGAAATAAATAAATGTCCGTGTTTGTGAGTGTGGAAATTCACTCGGGAAATCAGTGCTGGAATTTGTATGTTTATTAAAATTGCTGGAAACATATGAGTGGGAAGTTCCTTCTGCTTCTGCCTCTTCGGTTTTCAATTGAAGAATCCAACAGGTCATTAAATCTGTTTATTTATTTGATTCCATTTAATGCATTGGAGCTTCGTATAAGATCCATAAAATTAAAAACACATTATACCCCCCAATGAAAAAGGGAATCTCTGTCACCCTTTTGGAGCCATGTTCGGCCTGGTTATTATTCCTCATATGCTGGCCATTAAAAAATTTAACTGCAGCCAGTTTCCATCAAAGGCTGTGCCCCGCATTATGTGTATTTATGAAATCGTTCATACGCATAGACACGAAAATTCCTCTCGTTTGTGTGGCATAAAAAAAGAGAGGCAGAGGCAGCAGCGAGACCCGAGACCCGAGCAGGAGGCACACTGCCCCATAATAGAACCATAAACTGCAACAGGCGGCAGCAAAAAATAGACAGAAACTTGCTCATTTTGCTTGTTTGTTCAAGAGTTTGCCTGTGCATTCGGTTTTTGCTTGTTGCCTCAGCCTCACGCAACTTTCATTCCATCTCTCTCTATGGTTAGCAGTCCCTCTCCTTCTCTTTCTATTTCTTTTTCGCTTTCTATGTTTTTTTGAATCGTCTAGCCGCGGAGGAAGATGGAGTAGAACAGCAAGCACAGTGTTGAGGTTTAATATGCGGACAAGCAGATTAGTCGTAGAATTAGGGATGTTATGGGGGGTTTTTATGGATTTGGTTTCTTTTATTAGATTGAATTTTCTTTGATGATTAAACTGTGGAAGGCCTATGATACTTATTTTCACTGCAGATTAATTTATTTGTTGTGACCCCTATGGCTGTTGAACATTATTGTTGGCTTGGAAATCCATATTACGTATACGAAATGAGTAATTACATTTCCCAGGGTTTAAGGCATAAATCCAAAGAGTGATACTCGTATTTTAACTATCCAAACAACCCCGAAAAAGTTCCCAAAGATTTCCTATAAACTTAATCAATCTATTATTTCTTTTGTGGGGAAATATTCTAGAAACATTTCCATTCGACAGCCGTATATTTACTTTAGCCACTGTCTGCAGACGGTTTAGCAGCTCACACGCACATTCCGACAGTTTATTGGCATGCCGTATGCCGCACACCGCCGGGTCCGCTCGAATGCACCCTGCCCCCTAAGTCTGTGAGGCATGCCCCACACACATACACACACACAAACACACAAGAGTAGACAGAGCGAGCGGCACACGCATAAAAGAAACAACAAATAAAATGGTTGTACGCAAAATATTTAACACGAAAACACACAGAACCGAGCCCCAATGCCGGAGCCAAGTGGTTGCAGTTCCCAGTCGCGTGCCTCACAGGCCACAACGTATCCCGTATCCGTTCCGCCCCCGAACAGAGAGAGTGTAAGAGATCGCATATTGTATCTTGATCAGCAGGAGAGAGCCTTGTCTTTGTCGCGCTCGCGTGTGTGGGTGTCGGGGTCGTAGCATCCATCTGCTCCAGATATTTACCCATTATAATCGTACCTGACGATCTCGTTAATGGCAGAATGTGCTTAAGTGATCCATAAATTGGATAGATATTTTTATCGTGCGGCTGTTTAATTGTCCGCAGACCAGACATCATTTTCGCTTGGATACTGCGTTTCGTACAAATTACAAGAATTATTTATGAGTTCTTACTATTACGATACTGAGTAAGTGTTTATAAATAAAAGATATTCGGATATTCCATATTCAGATTGTTTTTACGGCTTAAATGTTTTCGTAGAATCAATAAATTGATGAAATATTTGCTGATTATTACGAGTAGATCTGCTGTTTAAGATCTCGACAGGCATATTTCGCATAACTTCTGTTTAAGATTAGTTGAGGGGTTTGCTGGCGTATCTGGATTTCATCTCAGCATATCATTTTAATATATTCCACCTTGATAAACGGCATAAATTAGCCAAGTATACATTATGTTTTGTGTCGGTCTTGGGTGTGTGTGTGTGCCAGTTATATAATCGTGTAAGAAATTCCTTTTGCTGGCAAGCTTTCAATGCTACACAAGAGAAAAGAAGAAAAGTCTCCAAAAGGGGGGGTTGGGGTGGCCGTTGCCTCTCAAGAAGCGAGGCTGATTCTGTAACACATGTAAATATTAATGAAGGATGACAATGTATACTTGACAACTTAATCGATAAATCAATTGCCTTTGCCAGAAGATAAAGCCTTTACTTTACCCCTTTTGAATAAAAATATATGTATATGTGTGTTACATGTGTATGTCTGGGCTCTTGTTGGATGGCAGGAGGTGGTTGGGTGCTGGTGATTGGTGCGTGTGTAGCATACATTCGGGCCCCTTTGGGGCATTGTGTAACCAACAAACCAGACAGTGTCGGTCGCCCATAAAGAATGGAATGTCATTGAACATCTAGATATTAAGCCACACACATCAATATCAGCCTGCCTGAATCTCACACATACTCCTCTTTAGATACTTGAAGGTGCCACAAATCAAAACCAAGACGTTGCATGCATTTGGACGCAATTTATCCAGATGTAAACTGCCATTGGCCCTCGCTTTTTTGGGGTCTATTTGGGGTCTAGGGGGTGGGATTTTGAATGCGCTTACACACTCTGCTCTTCTCCAAATAAACACGCTCTCAACTATTTGTAAACAAAAATCCCGAAAAGAAAAGTAACAAAATGAAATAGAAAAATCCAAAACAAAATTGTAGGAAAAACACACACTGAAAATCCAAAACGAAATAAGCAACAAAAAATAATTTTCCATTTTCATTATTATGATTTTGTTTTTGTTATTTACCCCGTTATCCATTTCATTCCATATTTTTGCCTTATTTTTCCCGTGTGTTTTGTTTTGTGTACGGTTGTGGTGTCTTTTTTTTGTTTTGTTTTTTACTTTATGTGTCTTTTGTTTTGTTTGTTTGTTGGTTTTTCTTTCACATGTGGGAAAACTAATGCACGACCATGCTCCGAGAACGAAGACGTCATGCACACTTTAAGCTAAACACCAGGTAAACCAAACCAGAAAACAACTCATTTACTTAGCCATAAGCTAATTAGCTTTAGAATTAAGTTAAGATCTTCCCATCAAAATAGTGACGACAGAGAACGAGAGAGTGAGAGATCTGTATAAGAGATCACAAGCTTTTCGTGAAAAATTGGCGTAAGGATCATGCGCAGATCTCTTATAAATATATATGGGGAGCTTTTAAGATCACTTAGTGCTTTTCAATCAATATATGTCTGGAAAATTATGTGCATAGTAGGATCAACAATAGATGGCGCTGCCTAAGAGATCTAGAAACTATCTTCAATACTAGATGGCTCTTTATTTGATTAAATCTCTCATACCATGAGAAGACTTTTCCCTAAATAAGTTTTACATGTAAGTTATTCTGCTAGCTATAAACCATCACTTTAGACAGATGAGTAGAGTCCATCTATTAAGACTTATGGATGGCCTAAGAATTTTCTACCCCTCCCGAAAACCGATTAAGTGGGTTTTGTGGGTATTGTAATTTCTGCCAAATTCCAACAATTACCCCGAAACAATTTCTTAAGAAAACAACTATCTCAAAGCGGAGAAAAGATGAAAATATTATCGCCTAAGATTAAACTGTCGCCGTCACATTTATGTCAAAATAAACAATAGATACAGCGGCGTGGAATGACAGGCGGCGATTAGCTTTGATACAAATTGGCACGGGATGGCAAAAGGTGTCGGGCTCCTTTAAATTATATTTATGCCCCCGCCAGCTCTACGTTATCCCTAGCTAATTTCTCTAATTGGTTGATAAATAACGCCGATTCATGCGCATTTTTCATAAGCGAAAAATTATTATTTATTAGACGTGATGGCCTCCCAGTGAACTTTACATAATGAATATTCGTACAGCAAGAGCCAGACGCTGTGGAGAACTATCCAATGGGGCGGAAATTATTTTTAAAAATATTGTGTGATGACAAATACACATATACGAGTATATCCAAGATTTGATGGGATCCACGATGGTGTGGGTGGCAGCTATAGTTTTTATTTAGGCCGCCAATGTCGCGACACATTTAACAAGGAGACAAAAACTGAGAGATAGACAGAGAGAGAGGGGGTCAGTGTCAAAGAGGGATCCAATTTATTTAATTTGGATCTCAATAAAAGAGCTGTTAATTTAATTGGAAATGTGGTTATTGTTAATTTACTCCATCATCTGCTGCTGACCAAAGATATAAATTAATTTCCCCTGCACTCAGTTGTTACAGCAGCTGTCAACCCACAAAAACCAGAACCAGAGCCCCAACCAGGAACCAACATGGAATGCGATTAAAGGCTTGATTAATTTCCATTTATTTCCTATGCTATCAATACTACATATAATCATTATATGTAGGACCTGCAAAAACCCTTTAATTTGAATAATGCAAACGGAAATAAATATTCGAGTAAATAAAGTCAATTTACTCGAGTATCGAGTAAAAAACTTTGCTGAAAAAACCACACGGGTCTAATTAGCTGGGTAATTGATTGTATAAGCACTGCCACTTTTTGTTAAAGCTTAAATATCGCTGACAAGAAGAAAAACAATAAATATTTGAGCAATTTTAATAATTTTTGTCACATAATTGAAATTTTCATAATTAATAGAAGAATTCTCGGGGTTTTACCTTCGAATCGGGAAATTGGCTTTTTTTGTTCCAGCTGACGTTGAGCGAGACAACTACGTCAGACAGTATTCGGTGCTGATGTTTGATCATAGTTTTTCTTGAATGCCCTTTTTGTGGAATTTTCTACACAGCTTATACATACAAGATAGGCAAGAAATTTAGGGGTGTACAAGGATTGCGAGACCTAATGCTGAACCTAATGGATTGGATGGTTCTTTAAGACTCTAACAGACCCAGAAATATCCTATTCTTCCTCTTAGAAACCCTAATCCATTGCAATGATTTCTTCCTCTGAATCAGGAACCGGAGATTAAGAAGCCCATTTCCATTGCAATGATTCCTTTCCTACCTCATTCGTTTCTCCATCCTTAACCAAGGGCATACAAAGTTCGTTGTCCTTTGATGCAGGTGCTTCTGCTCTCTCTCTCTCGCTCTCTCTCTCTCTTTTCTCGTCCGATTCTTTTTGTTAATCTTATAAACGAATGCTTGGCACAGCATGCGTACATTTCATTGAGAACGATGATTTGTTGTTCTTTCGATTTACTCGTTCGCATTTGCTTTATGAAACATTTTCTATTCTTTTGGTTTTTGTTTTTGTTTTATGGTTTTTATGTTCGTTTTTCATTTTTCTTTTAATTTGAATAAAAATTGAAGCGAGGTAGACAAAGCTTGTTGCTCTTGGCGGCGCGGCAGTGGCACACAAAGCCAATGGTTCAATGCCAGTCGTAGTCGTCGGCGTTTTGTTGTTCTAGTCGCGTTCTTTTTTGGCCAAAACTGATCTCGCCCAACTGTCAGTTTTCGGTACAGAGTCGACTCGTGCGGTTTTGCTGCGGTTGAAATCGACTTTTGTTCAACACATTTCACACTTTGTCACGCTGTTCACGAGATTCTACAAAGCAAAAAGAATAATTAATTATTGAAATTCAAGTAAAGACAGTGAATACGAGTATGTTGTGGCAGTGAAATTCGTCACAGTTCACCACAGATGATTGCATAAACATTTTGGGGAAAACCCACAGTGAAAGTGTAACCATTGCCATATAAACTGATAAATGAAAGGTGCTAAACAAGCAAAAACTCACTATGAAAGAAGTCGGAAGACCAACAAACGTTCGGAAAAGTCCGCCAAGTAAGCGAATTTCTTACTTTCCCTAGTTTTTCCTTTCGGTTATACCCTGGCCATGGCCCTTTCCTCTCCCTTTGGGCCAATGCCATTTGCACTTTATTTTTGGAATCAGACATCTGGCTCTTGATAAATATTGAAAGTCATTAAAATTTCTCTTCAAATATCCATACACTTCAGTGGTCGTTAAACAAACAATATTCGCCGCCTGGCCAACGGAACTAAAAATAATTCCAATTTGTTTATCATCGAATCGTGTTCGAATCGGGGGTACGGGTACATTGTCCAAGTTGATTTTACACTACAAAGTGGTACACAGAATCGGTTTTTAGAATGTTTATTCCAAGCGTATCTATCCCCACGATCTATAGCTATATGTTTTTCCGAGTGAGTGTGCGTGTAGACATCAATAAAACTGCCAAAGATTGCTTTGCTATCGATCATCAGTTTATCGATCCGATTGTTTGGTCTGCTTTCTTGGGGAAGAAACGTGCTGACGCCCAGCGCTCCGCTGCCCTGCCTCTTCTTTGTGTACACAAGTACCTACATATGTATGTATATATTGGAAAAATCGAAAAATAGAATTCAGAAATCAGGGATGGAACGTTTCAGAGGAACTGGAACATGAACTTATAAAAACTTTGAGTAACTGCAAGAAAATAAAATGAAATTTCATCAAATGAAGGAAAAATATTTTCTATGGATCCAATTTTTATTTATTTATTGGACCATTTCCAAGTGCTGAATTTTCCGAATATTGTCCCTTAAATTTGTGAAACAGTAAACTATTATTACTATTATCCATTTGTTTCTTTACCTGTAAATTCATTTACATATAAATCAATATTTCTTCATACATATGTATGTACATATATATACTTTGTTCTAATAAATCAATAAATCATTGTCGATTTATTTCGACCGCACCTAAAAGAATACTACAGATTATTCGTTGAAGATTTTAAGAGAACTTAAGAACATAAATCTAAAGAGCAAACATAAATCTCCCAAAAAAAATCTCTCTGCGATAAGCTGAAAAATATTCCAAACTTTTTTCCAATCAGTAGCCAAAATAAATGACACTTGGCTGAGTTAGGCATGACTGCCAAATATTCAAACACAAAAAGCACTCTTGTCATTTATTAAATATGGGAAAATATTTTCGGCTCTACGCATTCCACAAATTGTAGGGGGGGATGTCTCCCCAGAAAACATACAGAGGGTATAAATATATGTATCTATGCTTTTTTTGAATATTTGTTTTGGAATGGCGTATTCTGTGGCTCTGAGAGCTGCGATCTCTCAAGCGATCGGCAGTTTGTCAAAAATTCCCAGTGCAGACGGGCAGGCAGTGTCACATCGCTTCGGAATAAAAAACGTAAGTTATGGAAAGGCTGCAAAAAATCCTCCATTTTTATGGCTCATTTGGGATTTCAATAGATCTGTTAATCTGCTTAATTTGATTTGCAGATTTAAATGCGCAGTGCCAAGTGATAGGAAACTTTGGTATACTCTTCTCAGATCACTCTATTTATTTGCATAAGAAATTCAGGGTAAAATTTCCGTTATGCCAGCAGCCGTTGGATCGTAACCATTGGATAAATCAATTTATTTATGCTCCGTTTCGTTGCTGTAATTTATTGCTTTTCTTTGGTTATTTTCCTTTACTGAGAGCCGTTTTTTTGGTAGCACCAAAAGTCGGTGATATGTATATTTATATTTATTTTTCGTACAACGTCGGTGCTTTTTTCTCACTTTTTTATTATTATTTATTTATATGCGGCGAGTGTTGAAATGCCGTGCGCCATATAGCCGAAGAGAACGACTAACAATTGGTTCCAATGCTGGACCTAAAATCCGGTTCAGTTGAATTACAGCAGTCGTTGAAGACAGACTAATATATTTCGAGATTTGGGAAGAGTTTTGATAAACGGATCATTGGAAAAGTTAGGCATGTTGGTTGGCCGCCGTTCGCCCTGGCAACCGCTTACAAATCGCAGGTCCTACTCGTAGTTTTAATTGTAGATAGATCTATAGATCTCTGTTTAATGTTTAAGCAAATTATCTAATGCATGTTCGAACTTTACAGATTGGACAGAAAGTCATCGCGGGGCATGATATACGAGAATGAGGAGCTCAGGTTGCGCACCATCAACATAAATGCCGAAGTTGAACGAGGTAAATGGATGGGCTCTCAGGCGATCAAAGTCAGCCATAAAAGTGTATTTTTATGTGTTCAAGTCCCAAACAACAGGAAATCAAATAATCGTTTAATAAATAGGGTAAATGCTGAAAACAACCAATTAAAAAGACATTAGACGGTGGCAAACGATCGAAAACCAAAATAATCCCAACCAAAATATATCTATATAAATATAATTCTCTCTACCCACATACATACATACATATGTATATCTGTGCATCTATTTAGATATAGTAGATAGATATATGCGTATGTTCTGCGTGTCTATTCATAAAAAAAGAATAATAATGATTTTCATTGCCAAAACAGAAGGATAAGCGATTGTAAACAATGCGATTTAAGGTGTCAAGAAGGTCTGACAGCTCTGCATGGCTGCCACGTGCTTTGGTTGCCCCCGCCCCGCCCGCTTTGGCCAGTGCCTTCCAGTGGCTGTTGATTCTAATGGTTCTCCTGATTTTCCAGGGCAATCGGACATCAAGCGCCTGCGGCGTGAGAATGAGCAATTGCGTCGCGAGATCTGGACACTGCGGGACGAGTGCGATAGGCTGAACAAACGCTTCAAGGCGAAGCTCAATGAGCATGAGTTTGGCGGCTGTCGTGGCAGTGGAGGCAGCGGCGGCACTTGCCATGCCTACAGGTGTAGTGGTGGCGGCGGTGGACGAAGCAGCGGCGGTTGTGATGTAAACAGTGATGTAAGTTGATACATATATAAAGTGCGTGTTGCCAGATGCGAATTGGTTTCTTGTCCGTGTGCCCTTAAAGAGGTTTAAGTGTAAAGAACCGCAGGGAATAGATCAATAGTTAAAAAGATATATATTTGGTTAAATATTCTTTTGAATTTTAATTATTACTACTCTTCTGACTTCGATAGCGATAAGAAATTGACGCCTATCGGCATCAGCTGTTCAGCTGAAACACGTGCCATAAGCCGACCATCAAATTCGTGATTTAAAATACGTTTTCAATGACTTCCCAAGTGTATTACGATCCAAAGCTTGTATTTCTTTATTTGTGACTCCCATTCAATTTAATTTTCCCACCAAAACAGGACTCGGACTCATGTGATACGTGTCGCGGGGCAGACGATGGTCATTGCAGCGATGAATGCTGCCAGGAGGGTGGTTCCTGTGCCCCACTTAAGCCGCCACTGCCGCCAGAGGTGCCCGCATCATCATCATCGTCATCCAAGAATGAGGATTCCTCGCTCAAGGCAGATCAGCAGCAGCAGCAGCAGCCCATGCACTTTGATCATCTGTCGGTGGTGTCTGAGGAGACGCTGAGCAATCCGGAGATGCTTCAACAGTTCCAGCAGCAAGAACATCTAATGCTCTGCACACCGGATTTGAATGGATCGCAGAGCACGCTGCCCAGTTTGATGGGACCGCTGACACCGTTGACACCGCTGACGCCCATTGAGCTGGTGGCCAATCAGATGAACGACCTGCACGCGTCTGTGCCGCCATTGTCGTACTTTGAGAACATACTGTCGCAGCACATGGGGAATCCCAATTCAGGTGAGCGAATCCCTCCAGCCTCTGGAGAATCTTTAATCCGATTTCTAACTCTTCGTAGCCCTGACACCCACGCCCGAGCTGGGGAGCAGTTCGAGCACCACCACTGGCAAGACCATGCGCCACACCAATGGCTGGGACTACAATCTCCAGTCGCCTTTCACGCACCGCAAATATTCCAATCACACATCGCCCTCCCGCTCGCCACCGCCACCGGCTACGATGACGACTTTTGTGCCAACATCCACACAGCAGACGTTGCCGAAGATCGCTCTGAATGCTGCCCCACATCTGCCAGATAGCCCGGGGGACATCGAGACGGTGGCCATTACCACGAATGCAACGCAACAAGCGCTCAACAGTCCGAAGCATTTCTTTGCGCCGCTCAAGCCGCGTCTCAGGCTCAACACGAAGCTCGCCAACCAGGGCCAGGGGCAGGGTCAGATGCCAGATGCCCTGCCGCCAGGATCGCCGCCACCGCCGCTACGTGATCCTCCGGATATATTCGTGAACAATGCTCTGGCCTCGCCGTACCAGAGACGAGTCTCGCCACAAGTAAGTCCGCGTCGCCATCGCGCCCACTCGCATTGCCATGCCCACCAGCATCAGCGCCAGCACCCAAGCCAGCGGCACGACCAGGACCACGACCACGAGCAGCAGGAGGTGCCCCAGCATCCCCAGCACTGTGCCCTGCACCGCGCAGTGGTCGATGTGGCCGCTGCCGTTGGCTTGGGCTTTGGCCCCGCTGCCAGTGCCAGTGCCAGAGACAGAGACAAAACTCGGTCACATCAGGGCTCCAGCGTGCTGGACATTTACACGGCTGCCCTGGCAAATGCAGCGGCTGCCCGGTGCACGCCACTGCCTATGCCCCGCTCCGCAGCGGAGCCAATCTATGCGACCGCACAAAAGCCCTGCCAGAGCAGCTGCATCTCGGCCACGGCCCTGACCAAGCCCGTGATGACCATCACCACGAACACCACCAAGACCACAACTTCCCCTCTGAGTTTGCCAGCGAAGGCATCGAAGGTCCCAGCACAGCGGGAGAACGTTAGTCAGGTGAGGGATCGATCCTCTGGCGAGCAGTCGATCATCCTCGTGTCATAGTCCTCTCTCTCCTTTCATCAAATCTAGTCATCGAATCAGTTTAGCTGCATTTAAACGGAATCCATTGGCATTCTTCAATATCTTTATGCTTTCGATGTCTGTAGTTTGTACGATTTTTAGACCCCAAACTATTTTCGTAGCACATTTGAATATATTTCTCATGTTTGCCTCTCAAAATATATTTTATTTCTATCCCAGACTATCTAATTCCTAATCAAAATCAATTTTTTAATCTAACTAGCAAACAAAAGTCGTAAAAAACGTTAGAAAAATGATAAAAAATATAAGAATAGTTCCATCTTTGTTTTTTGTATTCCCATCTCAATTCAGATGAACGTTTCTGGGATCCAATTAATGTTTAGAAATTGAAGACCAAAGCATAAGTATTCATAGCTTTTAGGTATATGAATTTTGTAGATCTCTTATTAAATGTTAACCCAAAGCATTGAAACCGTTTAGAGCTTGAACCCGCATCGCTTGAAATCGCTTTAGAAAATTTGCAAATTATTTTATATGTGATTTCTAATGAGTTTCCTGTGTCCCCACAGACGGATTCGGTCAATCTGGAATCAATATTAAACGACATTGAGACTATTTCGGGAGACATCTTGGCCATTCAGCTGGAGAAAAGCAAGTCACGGGACAATCTGAACCATCGACAGGACAGTGACAAGGCGAAGAAGCCATATCGCTCCGAGATGAATCTGTATCTGCAGTACGACGGCACAAATCCGACCATTTCCCCTGCCACTGTCACCGGCAACACGGAGAGCGAAGCGGGAGGAGCGGTGACCACGACAACAACGTCCAGTGATTCGGGAAACAGTGGGAACGGCAAGCTGATGCGACGCACTCGCTCTCTGGAGAGGGAGCACACCGACAGCCCTGCACCGCACATACCCGATCCGATGGCACCGTTTCCCGACAAATGCACATATCTGGGATTCGAGCAGATCAATCAGGCGGCATCTGGACCGCAACAATCCCCGAATGGACAGCGTCCACCCATCAGTGCCAAGCCGAGCATAGCGGCCAAGCCGCCGCCTCCATTGCCGCCGGCACGAAGGCTACAAATGCCCACAGAGCCACCGCCTCCGCCACCCACATCAGCCAGTAGCATGTCCCCGAACAAGAGTCACCTGTACAAGACCCTGGCCACGGCAGCGGCCAAGCGGGCCATCTTTCGATCGTCTCCTTCGCAATTAACGCGCTCCCTGGATGTGGATCCCCCAGGAACTGAGGCGGAAACAGCAGCGGAGCAGGCGGCACAGACAGAGGTAAGCGGAGTCCTTTGATTCCTTCCGCCAAATTAAGATTCCAATACCCTTTCCAGGCTGATGAGCTGGCGAGGAGGAAGGCACGGCGCGTCTCCATATTGTGCGGCGCTGGACAAGCGCCCGAGGATGCTGCGGCACCTGTGACCACAGCACCCACGGCCACTGCCAGTTGTGTGGACCTGCCCACTGCCGTGCTCACGCATCCCAGCATCAAGGCCTTCAAGATTAGTCACAGCACACCGTCCTCGCCACATTCCTCTCGCCGGCGCATCAACAGCAATACCATGGCAGTGCCGGGGCATCCAGAGGTGACGGCCACCGCCTCGGCGCCGCCCAGCACCAGTCACCATCATCACCATCGCAAGGAGGGCAGCGATCCGGCGCCAATGACGACAGCGACTGTCAGTCGGACGAAGTGCTCGCGTCGTCACTCGGAGGGTACTGTCCATACGGTGCATAGGAATAGTGCTGCCAGCGGAGGAGGAGCAGCAGGCGGAGGAGGAGGACACCATCATCACCACAGCCACCATCATCCGCATAGCGGCATGGCGATAAGCAGCAATCCGCACCACAGCCACCATTCCCACCAGGATAGCAACCACGAGACGGCCACCTCATTATCCGATCGGAATTCCAACAGTTTCGCCTCCTCGCGTGAGTCCTCCACGAGCTTCAGCATGCGCTCCAGTCGCCGTAAGATCTCGATAAGCTCACACACGGGTGGCAAGATACCCTGGTGTGGCTGCTGGGGCAACGGATGCCTCTAGACGGTGGAGACGGAGAAGCAGTAGGAGTAGAAGTGGTTTCAGCTGCCGTCCAGGAATGTAAATTTCTAGATCTTCATATAGCCAAGCGCATATCCGTGTTTCTATATGTTTTTAGATAGGTTAGAATATAGTAAAAATCCAAAAGAACTTTTGCTTTTAGACAAATTTCCGTTCTGTGCAGTACAAAATGTCAGCAGTTCGTAAAACAAATTTGAAAAACAAAAATTAAAGAAATCGAAATTTGTTGTACATACTTATATTTTGCTTAGAATCGATTTAGTTGTAGTTAATTAACATCATGTAAATTCTATAAATGTATAAAGGAAAGCCAGTTAAATAATTGTTGCTCAATTGGGAGAGAATACCAAATCAGAAATATATTATAGAAAAAAGAAAAAGCACTCGGCGAACATATTTTAATATATTTTTAATCTATTGAAGTTTTAGGAATGTTATCCAAACAATTTCCACACATATGAGGAAGGGGCGGATAAAGGTAACACCACCCTCGCACAATTGGCCATGTGGGGCATTGAAATTCTCCCATGAATTCTTTCTGTAGTTTCGCTTTAAATTAAATTTTTTCTGTGGCAACTTTTTATAACAAATTTCATTTCACGCTTGTTGGCCACCTCTAAAGTTCCACTCAACGAATAGAACTGGTCTTTAAATGGGAGCAGATACAGAAAAACACAGTGGGAGAGAGAGAGGTAGTTGTAGAGTGTGTGGAAAAGAGAAAGAGCAAAGCCGCAATAGTAGGTGAAAAGGACACCGAGTCCGTGGCAGGAAACACTGCAGAAACAGCAACAGCAAGTGAGGGAAAAATGGTACGGTATGGGTCGTGGTACGTAACTGGAAACTGCAACTGAAATTGCGCAACAAGCGAAAATATACAATATGCAAATTAGCCGCAAATTAAGGTGTAAAAATGCATGACACACAAAACGCCTCTAGGATATATGCAGGAAACAAATTAAATTTTACCCCCAGTACCAGTGGCAGTACAAATTCTGGCTGCTGCCTGTGCAGGTGCGAAAGTACGGTATGGTAAGGTATGGCAGGGTCCTCTACAAAATGATAGAGAAAATAAAAAGTCAACAAGGGGGAAAAGAGCCACTGCAGTGCGCCAGAGAAAATGTAACCCAACACTGAGAGGCAGCCAAGGGCCAATCTACAGTTTATTTTATTCCTCACCATCGCAGGAAAACGGGAACTGGACTCAGTCCTCCATCACAGAGCAAAGCGAGCACTAAAGGACTCGGACTCCATTATTGAAGGACTGGGACTGGGATAGGGGACTCCATCACTGGCCAGCTGCCAATCAATTGGTTGGCACTTTACTCCGTTTTAGAAATAACAGAATTTATGGCATCTTCCCCGTTTAATTGATTGGCTGCCAAGTTCTGCCAGATTGCCGCGAATTTCCTTTTATTGCATTGTGTTTATCTACGGAGGACTTTTCGCCTGGGGCTCGCTCGCTCTGTTTCTCCTTGGCTTTGTTCCCGTGGCCATTGACTGGCTGCCAGATGCACACTCATCTGTTCCGTTGCTGTTTCTGTCTCTGGCAGGGACATGAGAAATCAATTTGTAATCATTATGAGCCCGTTTATTTGCCAATGAAACTAAGTGGCAGCGCATGAGGGCAATCAGCTTTCGAGAGCTCGAGTGCCGCACATAAACTCTTAGACGCAATGCTTAAAATACAAATTATACTTTTTCAGACAAAAGAAATTATAATATAAGCTACAAATCATGAAAATATAAAGAAAAATGCCAAAAAAAAATTACCTGCCCCGGGTGAGGCTCGAACTCACGACCTTAAGATTATGAGACTTACGCGCTGCCAACTGCGCCACCGAGGCCATGGATACGTGCGTGGTTAACATGTGTATTTGAATAGAACCAAAGGTGTCTCAGGTATTTTCGGGAATTCATCTTTATGAGGATTGGTCTAAATGGGACCCGATCTATTTGTAGGTGAGATGGACATAACCTTACACCTGATATGGTGTGGTGTATTTACTTAAATCATTTATTTTTAATTAGTGATTATTCCATCTATTTTTCCCTCTATTTTTTTTATAATTTAGCTGAAAGGTACTTTAATTAAGTTCCCTTTGAATGCACCTCTGAGCGCCCCGGAAGAACATATGTACTTATATTTGAAGCATAAATTATATAGAGATTTCCGTGTAATATTAAAAAACGGCAGGAATCAATACCAAATCAAATCTTCCTATTTAGTTGATAATTTGAATATTTTATTGCAATTACAAGCATTCAGTTTATTTAATTTTAGACCCATTATTTTATCTCTATAAATGATTTATCTGAATTCATAATAATGAAAGTATTTCAGACGGAAATGTATGTACATACTTCTTCCATTGTACAAATAGAGATATAAATTGCTTTCCCTCCGAAGAACACTCCTCAAATATTTGTGGCCACATTCGGGAAAACTTTTCTCTAATCAAATCTATATCAAACGATGCATTTCAAAGACTCATCTCAGACAGTTTGCCTCCGGCTTTTCGCCTAATGATTTATACGCCGTTCCCAACCATAACCATACGCGGCAACGTATACTTATTTAATGGCTTTTGTTTCGTTCTGTATTGCTGTGGTATTTGTTTTATGAACGTGTGCCGCCGTGGCATGGCGCCTTCAATGAGCCGTGTCTGCACATATTTCTCAATCATAGCGAGACTTTTCAGACAATGCCAGACAAGTATGCATATATCTTTATATATATAGACGGGTTTTTATGACGCTTGTTTGTGGGAAGGTACGGGGTGGAATGGAATGACTGTCTACGGCGTTTTATTATCATAAATTCAGTCGCTAAAACCCCATCCGTGGTAACCATACAACTGGGAAAGAGTTCCTTTGTTTGACGTATGAACAATTTGTCATGCGAAATTAAGCAGAAGCATAAAAATCAATGCATAGTAACTAATTAGTTGGTGGCTAAGGCAACTGCTCCTCGCTCCATCTGGTGCTGCTTCTGCTGATTACTCTGCTGCAACAGCTGCAGCAGCAGCAGTTCTCCGGGCTGCTGCTCCTTTGTTTGCCCGCATTAACTGAGTGGACAGGACATACCAGCGAGGAGAGCAGATGTGTGCTCTGGGAGCTGCTAAATATTGCAAGTAGCAACTGATGATGTCCCCTGGTGGCACACACACACACACACACATGAAAGGAGCAGCTGCTGTTGCAGCACACTCTTTTTTTTTGTCTTTTTATGCTCTGTTTTTTTTTTTTTGCTGTTCCTGGTCTTTTGAGCCAAACACTCACTTTGATCATTTTTCATTTTCCCGGACGACACATGGGCTCTCCCCCAAAGCCAGCAGCAGCAGCAGAGTTGTCTGCAGCTGCTGAGGATTCCTAGAAGTGGGTGGAAGGAAGGGGGTTCCTTCCTGAAAGAGTGTAGTGTATGTGTCTCGGTGACATTGTTGGACTTGCGTGATATTTTTATTAAGAAATATATCAAATGCACATAATGCACACACATTCCATTCTGCCTGCCATTCTCCGTAGCCCTGGGGCTCAGACAGACAACAGGAGCTGAGCTCTTCGTTATGCCGTTGGCCAAATGACACGTTATTATTTCCATTGTTAAGCGCAGGGTTTGTATTAAACTAAAGCTTAAACACACGATGATTGAGCAGGACACCATCTATCGTTCAGGCAGGACTCCTCCCTCTCTGGCAACTCTTCTTTGCTGTGAAATTCGAATTTGAAATTGCAAATTTATTCATACGCGTCGCGGGTCGTGCGGCTCACGTCAACCGTCAACGTTAAGTGACCTTTCCGAATGCCTGCTAACCAGTAGGTGGCAGAGAACCTAACCTGGCCACAGAAATGCCTGTGTTTCCAGTCAGCCGAGTGCTGGGAACACACAGAAATTTGCATAATCGCGTGAAGCTTATTTGTAAAATAAAGAAAATGCCAGAAATTACATATAACATTGAGGGGGCGCGCTCTGGCACTTCGGTGGAAGCGTCCTGGGTCAACGCGCACAGGATGTGTGCGCTAAGCCACCGTCTGAGCCAGGTTAAAAGCATTTCTGAATAATTTGCATTTAACATGCGCGACATGAAAGCCAAATAAACAATTGCCCAGGCCAGGACAGGCCAGGCCCTCCAGGCGACTCTTTCGGTTGAGTGGCAATTTGTCAAGCTGCTAACTGGCCTCTGCAAAATTTTTGGCCTGTTTCCTTTTTGGTTTATGCTGATTTGTTGCACTCGTTTTTCATTTGACTAAATGCTGCAAATGATGCGGTTTGATGTGGGCGAAATGTGAATGGGAAAGAGCTGACTTTACAGTGACTCAGTGGCCAGTGCTCTAAGCAGTGTGTCCAGTGGCAATCTCCATCGAGGGCGTATACTTAATCTGACTGCTAGCGTCCAATAACTTTCACTGGGCTGTTAGCCATGAATTATGAACGCTACGAAATTAACATAATTTAGTTATGAACAGGACACTGTCGCATCTCGTGCCGTTCCGTTTGGCTATCTATCCCCTCTATGCCAAATAAATTGTAAAACTTTTGCCCAAACTAAAAGTATAGAAGAAAATGTATTGTTCGGCCACAGCTGAAAGTCAATAAGCCAAGAGGGGAAAACTTTTGATCATCAATTTCTATGTATACCTAACAGCATATATCGCCTTTTTTCTGCAGAGGGTGCAGAGGAGAAAAGAGCATAAATTTGATTAATATTAATGCCGCTTGCTTGCTGTACAAGGACATGCAATATCAATAAACCCAATGGCAGACTCCTTTTTATGATTTATTGTGTTTTGGTCAGTGGACGTGGCCGGACCATGGACCACGGACCATGGACCATGTCGCAATTTCACCTTCGCTGCCATCATTCTCGTGCTCCATTAAACCTTTGGCGACACAACCAATGAGCCCCATAACGTGTGCCCTGATACCTTTTTTTTCTTCTGTTTTTCCTCCTACTGTTGTCCCAGTCCTGTCTAATATCCTTTGTTTATAAATGTTCTAATGGAGGGCAAATTATTATTTTTTCCTTTTTTTTTTTCCTTCGTTCGGTGTTTGTGCATGTCGGCGCTGCTTCCTTGACGCTGTTCGAGTGATAAATTGATTGGACTACATATAGGGATACAGGATACTCTCATACATACACATATTCAAGCAGGCAGGACATTCATATCGGCGGTCAGGCGTAGTACACTCCGCTGTCAACCCTGACTCTGTGTGTGCGTGTGCCTGGCTCTTTGGCCAATTTATGGTTAAGGTTAGTGGTCAAAGGATAATAGTCGCACACTGTTCACAGCTCTACAGCTAAATGGGTGGCAGGTCAGCCCACCCTCTGCTGCTGATGAGCCCTTGTTGACCCGCTGGAATTGTTT